GATAAGATACATTTTTGTTAATAGGTAAGGTACTTGAATGCATTTTTAAGGTTTATCTCCTGAGTTTAGTGTCACTTTAAATAGAATCTCAGCCTACAGATTGCATACACTTACACAGTTTGCAGTCCTTGCACCCACAAAAGACTTCATAACTACTGTTCTATAAGCAAGAGCTAAATGCCAGATATTTTAACTTGCATAGAAACTGTCTGCATTGCATATGCCACCCAGGCATAAAGTCTCCCTTTTATTTTTCTTCTAGTGCATGCTTTAAAATTAAAGTGATCATTTGTTTGCTATACACAACACAGGAAGCTTTTTAGTGATGGTCAGCATCCTACATAATATTACATTTTCTGTGACACTGAAGTCTAATATAGAAGATATTTGTTCAATTTTGAAAAAAAAAAAGCTTTTACAATTAGATTTAAAAGTCCGGAAACCCATAGAAAAATGTGTGAATAATTCATATGTTGCTATCTGATATTTGAGCAAGAATCATTTTGAATGAAATTCCCTGAATTGTGGTTACCATCTTGCTGCTCAGTGTACAGTACTAAGGGGATGAAAGAGGCCCATAAATCTCACAGGCCAGTTTACTTACTTCTCCTATTGAACATCTTTCTTACTTAAATCATGAAGACAACTAAATTAATGGCTTGGAAGCATCCTGTTTTTTCTGTGTTGTCCAGTGCTGGTTGTCCAGCCTTATTTCCTCTCTAATAGATGAGAGGAGCTGCTAATTGCTTGTCTTAATCATTGTACATCGCTGAGCTATAAACAGAGAGAGGAGTATTTTGTTTACTTCTATAAATTATTCATAGCTGCTTTGCATTAGCTGTAATCACTTTCAGTTATTTTTAAAGTTCTCTCTTTACTGGATTTAAAGTCAACCTATCACAAAGTGAAGCTTTTTAGTACTATGGAGGTTCCAGGAGTCAAGCTCCACTACAAGAAAATCTAGGATATATCTCTGGATCTACTAATCATTTTGTTAAAGTGGACCTTCAGCTTAATTTTGCACATTCCCTAATATTAGTTAATATAGTTAGATGAACTAACAAATTGAAGCCTAACTCCAGCTAACACTTTTCAAGCAGTTACAGAAGCAGGTGGTTTTCCTTTTGGGATAAAGCTTTTAGCTAAATGAAAAAAAGCTGACTATTGTAAATGGTTAAAAGCACCCCTGTCAGTGTTAGTTGGATTGTCCCAACCCTCTGACTACGACTTCATGGACAGCTTGGCCTGTTAAAGAAAGTTGGAAACTAACAGACATCGTGGCAGGATCAACAGGTAATAAAATTTGGTTATGGAGGGATTCAGCAAAAAACAATCGCTGCTGTTGCCAGATTGCCTCATATATGTTTTTATTTTATAGTTCCACTTTAAAGCAGAATTAAGTTAAGAAAACAAAACATTTAAAACAGATTTATTTTTCTTAATAATTATTATCCATATTTTTACATTGAACTAGCCTACATTTCTGAATCTTGATCCCCTGCATGGTAGGATCACGAGAAGGAAGCACAGCTCCCTGAGACAATCTGGCTCTTCTGCTTTAAACATGTTGGTAACAGTCTTCCTTCTCAAAAATGCTTACCGGATGAAAAAGAGATGCATATTCTCAGCAATGCTCCTCACTGTCCAATCAGCAGTCTGGGGTGGGCCGAGGACCAACTGGAAGAGGAAAAAAGGAAGGTCATCGACTTAGTTATCTTCCATGACAGGGATCACATTAATGGCTGGATATAATTACAAATCCTTTGCAACGTAATACAGCTCCCATATACATATTCCAACTGTGTACAGTGGTACCTCGGTTCACAAACGCTTCTGTTCGCGAACAATTCGGTTTCGCGAACAGGAAGCTCGGCAAAATTTTCCTTCCGTTCGCGAACTCTGCATCAGGTGACGAACACGACCGCGGCCATCTTCCTTGCTCTGACACGTGGTCGTGGCTTCCTCTAGTCAAGATCAGGGTTGCAGACAGACCGGTGCACACTTGCTGTGAAGTTTTTTTTGTGCTTTTTAGCACATACAGTACTGTACAGTATTATTCATTCCAGCATGGATCTAAAGAAAGTGCAGAGCAAGCATGATGGTAAAAAGAAAGTGCAGAACGGTAATGAAGGTGACAAGAATGTGGAGAGCGGTAATGAAAGTGACAAGAACGTGCAGAGCGGTAATAAAGGTAACCAGAATGTGCAGATTGGCAATGAAGGTGACAAGAACATGCAGAGCAGTAATGAAGGTAACCAGAAAGTGCAGAGAAAGAATGGTGGTAACAAGAAAGTGCAGCGCAATAATGAAGGTAACAAGAAAGTGCAGAGCAAGAATTGTAAGAAGAAGGTTTTGAAGAAAATAACCATTGAATTGAAGAAGATGCCGAAGTCGACAATCTCGACTATATTGAAGAATAACAAGAACATGCAGAGCTGTAATGAAGGCAACCAGAAAGTGCAGAGCAAGAATGGTGGTAAAAAGAAAGTGCAGCACAGTAATGAAGGTAACAAGAAAGTGCAGAGCAAGAATTGTAAGAAGAAGGTTTTGAAGAAAATAACCATTGAATTGAAGAAGATGCCGAAGTCGACAATCTCAACTATATTGAAGAATAAAGATGCCATCAAAGGAGCTGATGTGGCAAAAGGAGTAACAATGTTAACCAAACAGAGGACACAGGTACTGGAAAAGGTGGAAAAACTTTTGTTAGTGTGGTTGAATGATAAACAGCTGGCAGGTGATTGTGTTAGTGAAGCTATGATCTGTGAAAAAGCCAGGAAATTGCACAGTGATTTACTGCAACAAAACCCCTCTACAAGTGCATCTAGTGATCAATTTAAAGACAGTAGAGGGTGGTTCGATAAATTCCACAGTGTGATCAGACATGATGAGGCTTCCAGTTCTGACAAGGCCGCTGCAGAAGCCTACAAGAAAGACTTTGCAGAATTCATGAAGTCAGAAGGATACGTCGCTCAACAAGTGTTTAACTGCGATGAAACAGTGCTCTTTTGGAAGAAGCTGCCGAACAGAACCTATATCACACAAGAGAAAAAGGCACCGCCAGGGCTCATAGTTACATAGTATTTGAGGTTGAATAAAGACATTAGTCCATCAAGTCCAACAAAGCCCATAGTTCAAGCCCATGAAGGACAGACTGACCCTTTTGCTGTGTGCGAACACAAGCGTCGATCTGAAGATTAAGCCACTACTCGTGTACCATCCCCAGACCCCTCGTGCATTCAAGGAACAGAATGTGAACAAGGCCAGACTGCCAGTCATGTGGAGGGCCAATGCGAAAGCTTGGGTCACAAGGCAATTGTTCATGGAATGGCTGCACGAGGTGTCGTTAAAAAATATCTTTCTGGCAACCAACTGCCTGAAAGGTGCCTTCTTCTGATGGACAATGCCCCGACACACCTCCCAGCCTTGGTGGATGATATGGACGCTGAGTATGACTTCATAAAGGTCAAGTTTCTCCCCCCCCAACATGAAACCTCTTCTGCAGCCCATGGACCAGCAAGTGATCTGCAACTTCAAGAAGCTGTACACAAAGGCACTCTTCACCAGGTGTTATAATGTCACTGAAGAGACATCCTTGTCTCTGAAAGAGTTCTGGAAGAAACATTTCAATGTCCTCCATTGCATCAACCTCATTGACAAAGCCAGGGAAGATGTCACGTACCATACCTTAAACTCAGCCTGGAGGAAACTGTGGCCAGAATGTGTCACTGAACGTGACTTGGAAGAGTCTCATGTACAGGTAGTGGAGGAGATTGTGTCCATGTGCAACAATGGGTCTGGATGTCGATGGTGCAGGCATAGAGGAGCTTGTTGAGGACCAAAAGGAGCAGCTGACGACAAAAGAACTTGCTGAACTCCAGAGTGAGCAGCAGAAGGCGCTTGTTGAGGAGCTTTTCACTGAGGAAGAGGAAGACAGGGAGGAGGTTAGCAGTGATGTGATAAAATCCATTATGTAAAAATAGAATGAGTGCCAGGATTTCTTTGAGAAGCAACACCCCAACATAACTGTAATGAACAGAGTGTTGAATCTGATGAACGATAACGTGGTCTCTCATTTCCGGAGTGTTCTGCCGCGCAGGAAAAAACAAGTGACATTAGACCGATTTTTCGCCAAAATTGACCCTGCAGCTGAGAGACAAAGAAGAGAGGAAACCCCTGAAAGAGATCTCCCTGATGTCCTTATGGAGAGGGACTCTCCATCCAAACAATAACCTCCTCCCCACCTTCCTGCCAGAAGTTGCCCTAAGAAAGGTTAGTGTTCACTCTCTTCATACTGTACTGTACTTTGTTTCATATTTTTGTGGTTAAGATTTTTTTTAACATATGGTTCAGAACGGATTAACCTTATTTACATTGAACCTTATGGGGAAATATGATTCGGTTCACGACCGATTCGGTTTGCGACCAGAATCGTGGAACCAATTAAGTTTGTAAACCGAGGTACCACTGTATTTATCTGTTTGCCTAAAGTTCAGCTTTAAAATCCATGCCCAAGCACATTTAAAGAGTTTAAAACACTGGTGTTGTTTTGAGACCCCCAAAATGCAATGGCAGGTTTTATGAAGATTTGAACAAATAAAAGGATCACTCTCTGATTACGCTGTCTTTAGACTTTTTTTATTTTGACACTTCTGCACTTCTATATTATCAACATTTTAGTACTGTCTGTGTCCCCATGAGGGAGATAGCCACTGTGTGGATGATAGGTAGCAGACAAAACAGGAAGAGGAGAAAAACCTATTCCGTGGTGACAAAGGCATTTAAAATCTGATAGAAAAATCACTTCACTGGGGACACAGCTATAATTTAACACCTGACAGAACTTCTAACCCTTCCCCACTCAATACAAGTTTGTATTGAGTGGTAAAGTTTGGGAGCTTTATTTAAGAACCTGTCTCCTTAGTCACTGGTTTGGGAGCATTGGGTTTGAATATTGTGCAGTGGTCATCCATCACACTTTGTTCTTTTGATTATTGCAGGAACTATACAAAACAAGTGAGCCATTTGATCCAGAAGGTGTACTTGGCACAATTAACTCGGTGGTTATGGCATTTTTTGGACTACAGGTAAACCATCTAACAGAGTTTAGCATAAAACACGTATTTTGGTCTTTAACCCCTCAAAAAAAGTGAACCCTTAAAAAATGACAATGAAATTTATTGGGACAGAGAAATTATGCTGAGAGAGCAATTGTCAATACTACCAGCAACCAATCATGGTTCATCTTTCATGCTTTGGAAAATAGAAACACATATTCTAATTGGTTTTCATGGGAAACCATTACATTTTGTTCTCATTTTCATTTTCACCACTTATAAATCAATCCAAATACATTGTGACATACAGCATAGAAGGTCTATTGGGTAGTTGCGTATTCCTGAATGTGTTTCTTTCAGTTAACTAAATACAAAAAATACAAGCTTTAATGGGCTAACTAAACATAAAATGTGAGCATGCATTGTTAGTTTTTGCACCCTGCTGGTTTCAAGGATAGTATATTGTTTCCTAAAAGTTGTGTTAGTAAATGTATATGGACAGCCTTCAGTGTTACCACTTTTGAATGTATAAAGCCATGGTTCAATGCCAGCGACTAAAAAATAATAGCTCTGGTGCCAATAAAAAATATATTGTTAGTATATTGTTAGCCTTTGGCTCAAATAAGTGTAAAATTCCTGCCCTGTGAGTAAAATTTACTGCCAGTCTTTGGTGTTGAATAAATGAATATTGTTGCTGTTCTAAGAATGTTGTTAGCACCTGGTATCAATAAGTATAAAATGTGTTCAATATAAATAAGACAGGCTCTAGTGGTGGCCAACGCAAAATAAAAACATTTGGCCCTAGAATTAGTAGGTCTGCCATTGTCTCATGACAATACCTTCCTCTGCCAATATCAAAGGTGAGAGTCCTGCACACCTTCTGCTGAAGAGCAAAATAATATAACACAGATCTATGGACAGATAGTGCTATTCTAAAATGATAATCTAGACAAAGAACAATATGAAAAATCATCAGTTACAAGATGTACCATATAGGTACAAGTGGACTTTAACATATGCAACATTACAACACAACATTATAGGAGGAAATGTCTACATGTATCTACCCAATATGGGATACATATAGAAATAGGGAGACTTTTCATTCAAATGCTGAAAAAAATAAATTGAAGCAGAGATGTACAGGACTGCAGAAAAAAGTAATATACATATTACAAGTGAAAAGACATGTGGGTATGTGCAGATTGAATATGATGACCCACCATCATTTTGGGATTTTACCATATTCTCAAGGCGAGCGCAGCCCAATAAAATGTGTAAGTATATTTATGTATAATGATATGTTTTGTGCCGTATTTTATACATACATTTGGATTTTGTAGTTTAGCTATATATTGATCAGTCTGCAGCTATTTAATGCGTGTCCGGTTTATTTACTCTTCTTGCATCTGTCAGCATAAAATATATAGTTAAAGTGCACCTCCTGAAGGGAATACCGAAATCATTGGAGCTGCTACTCTGTCATCAGGTCACTTGCCACCTCCGCAGCACTTTCCTTACTCTTTTCAGCTGCAGGTCATTGTTAGTGCTCCTCCTCTGTTGCTAAGTTGCCATCCACCACATTTATTCCACTTTGGGGAAATAATACCCTTGGTCACAGCATTTTCCAATATGACAACAAAGATACAATTCACATAGAGTACGCTGCTTTAATTCTATGCCTGGCACAGATAGCAATAAAAACCAAACACTGGATGTAAAGTTGGCCTTACACTGCTCAAATTTTCGGGCAAATCTTGCTGACCCAGCCAAAATCGGAGCAGTGTTTGGCCCTGCCAGCACCACTCCGTTCAACAAAAGTCAGATTTTCAATTGTCTTTTGTCAGATGAGCCGGGCCCAGTAGTGACTGCATCCAATCAACTGCATATAGAGTATGTCAGAATACAATAGCCGGGGAGATTCCCCCATGCATAGCAGGGTGCGAAAATTTAGATGTTCTACATTTTTGCACCCTGTTGGTGACAAGGGCTCATCTAAGGTACTGAGACTAAGCACCAACTGGTTTTCACCAGAGCTCATGATGGTGGAGATGGGTTTCGATGTGTGCTGGTACCAGGTGACAGCCCTCAGGATTGCCCTACCATGGAATGAGCGGGGGACTAGGTGGCTATGATTTGGAGACAGTGCGGTAAGGAGAGAAAAGAAAATGGTTGGGTCCAGACAGAGGTTGGTGATGGGCAAAGCAGCAGAATTGTGAGGTTCAGACAGGGGTCATAGATGGGTGGAAGGCAAGAGAGTTGTCAGGTCGATACAGGCCAGCAATGAAATAGGCAATCAGTAGTGTAGTAGACGAAGGTCGGCTACGTGCAAGTCAGCAGAATGGTCTGGTTCAAGCAGAGGTTGCAGGTGGGTGGTAGCCAAGATAGTAGTCAGGTTGATTAGGAATGAAGCAGGCAATCAGTAATGCAGTATAGTTCTTTTTGTACAAAGTAGGGTAGCTGGTAAGAAGACCCAAAACCAGCCATTTCCAGGGCATATTCTTAAATTTGACATGTCCAGTATCATTTCAGGGAGCTCTGAAGTTCCTGGCCGGAGTTCTGCAAGTGCCATTAGAAGTATTGTCAGAGATTCTGCAAGTGCCATTAAAAGTTCTGGCAGGTATTCTGCAAATCCTGGCTTGTATTCTGCAAACAAATACCATTAAAAGTACTGGTAGACCTGGAGGGTATTATAACACCAACTCAAAACAAACAAACTGAAAATGTTTTGGCTGGGGTTCCCATTTAGTTCATGACAATGCATAAACTATTTATTAGTGTTTGGGATTAGTTACTATTACTCTTCTACACAATGTTGTGTTGTCCATATGTTGACAGTTATTAAAGGTCCTATCTTTTAGACTACTGTCACAATGTCCCGAATGGCTGAGTTCTTTCAATGCCTTATAGGCAGCTTAATTGTTTAAAGCCAAGGCACCTAGTCATGCTCCTTTGGATTATCAGATTCAACCAAAGAAGATGCAACCCAGAGCACAGGGTCAGCCTGCCTTTTCTGAGAGTGCTGAGGAGGCCTGAACTCAGACTGAGTCATATTTAATGGCTACTATACCAGTGCGTAATAAATAGCCTAACTTTCCTGGCAGCCATATAATGGCCAACTGGTAAAGAAACCTTATTTTATGGTATTGCTTTGATTACACCTTTGTGTAGGGAACATCTGTTTTGGTGAAAAAATCATGTTGTAAAAAGATGTTGAAACATCACCAGCTGACACTTTATCTCCTTTTCTTTCAATGGGAGAGTAGTACACCCTCTCATGATATTAATGATGTTAATGCATACCCTCTCCGTTACATTATACTAGTTGATAGCACAATGTACAACTTACGTAGTTGTGATACACTGCTTAAAGTGGAGAAGTAGCCATGTGAAAAAGAAATCACAGTTTTGCTTTAGTTATGTATCCTTGAGACTTACAGAGAAATGGTTGTAGTCTTTATAAATCCCTATTGTTATCATGATATGTGTCCATTGTAAACAGAATAATGCTTCACAGGCTGCTTTACATATGAAATAGCCTCTGTATACATATTTCTATTGATTACATTGCATTAATCTTTTTAAAGGTATTGTTCTTCACTATCAAGTGATCAGTAATGACAAATAACTGCCGTTTCTGGTTTTGTTATGACAAGCTCTAACTATGGCATTTCCTTCACCTGGAGAGATATTTCAGAGCTGCTGTTAAATATAAATGAGAGTGATAAGACACACAAAGCAGCATAGAAAGAAGAAATAGCGTGCAGTGTCCAGGAAAACCTGACCTCGCACTTTCCATGGATCCTTTGTCATAGAGTGTGCAGGTGCAAATCGTGTTTTATTAGCACAGTTATATTATCTTGGCTGTAAGTATAACAGCTACGGCAAATATTCGCTCCAAGGTAACCTGTTATGGCAGGCCCAATCCACATGTCAACAAGTGAGATTAACTCCCCTCATACTGTGATACCAGATGCTGGGCCACATGAACAGGAAAAGCTCATATTAGATGAGTTATATTTCTTCCTGTGCTTCTACACAGGAACAAACCCCAGAAATAAGATGGTTTTAATCATGCTTAACATTTAATAAACTAAAAATCATTTTACGTATTTAACAGACACCTATACAGGGAGAAAAATGTAGACTGGCTTCCTTCTTAAGGTGCTAATTACCTGAGTGTATCATTGATCCTCTGACTTTAAATCCTATCTGAACCCAAAAACAAAAATGTGATATATTGGCAGCTTACCAGCCCTCAGATGTGGAGGCTAAATATGTTTTCTCTTTTAATGCTTTTTATTTTATATCCACCTGTTGATACAGCCAGTAACATGCTTCCTGTCTTAGGGTGGCTATGCTCATATCCTCACTGTATCTATGGAGGAGCAATGTAGCCACCCTTGGACAGCAGCATTGTCAACCTGTAGGGAGGGAAGTGTTAGATGGCCTAGTAGATTTAAATGAACTTTACTTGTGACTAACAAATGAAAGCGTAATTTCAGCTAACACTTCTTAAGTAGTTACATATTTTTTCCCCTTTGGGATAAAGGTTTTACATACATTTCTCAACCCTCTAACTGAGACTTTTGCTGAACAGATTGGTCTGCTAAAGGAAGTTGACAATAACTAACTGGCAGGATTAATGGGTAAAAAAAACTGCATTACTGGGAACTCAGAAAACCAAAGACTGTTGTTTCTAATGACAAATTTCATCATATGTGTAATTTTCTACTTTGCCCATAGTTCCATCTTAGGTAATTCCGGACACTTTTTTGAGTTTTTGGAGTGTGGAAGGGTTAGAACCTCTGTCAGGTTCATATATTGTTGTCTGTGTCCTTGGGGAGTTCTGTTGTCACTTCCTGTCGTAGAGACAGCCTGTCATCCTGACATACAGGGTTACCAGGACAGGAAGGAACGGGGAAGACTCACCAAAGGGTGGTAAGCAACAAAATCCAAATTGCATGTAAGCGAAGGCATTACAGAACAAGGGAAATTAAAGTAGAAGACAGCATGCCAGTGGTTGCAAA